ATTTTAAGATGGGTCGGGGGGCACATTAGAAAAATGAATCAAAGGGAACAAAAAATTCTTATACCATTTTGAGATACTCATTGTAGTTTTTGAATTAGAAAAGAAAACGTCTAAGCCAATACGCGATTAAGCAACGCCGCGCGAATTCGTAGGATGGGCACTCGAGCAGCGGCGGTGGCGGCGTGCAGGGAGGAGGAAGGAGCGCTTCGTCGCCTGGCACAGCCTGGCATAGCGATCCTATGTGTTTCGCCGCATCGCGCCTACACTATCCAAAAATGTTATTTTAGCTGAAGTTTTTCTTACACATTTCTTATCATTATCACGTTATTTAGCACGATTAAATACATTTAAATACAATTATAGGTATGTTAAGTGATATAATTAATTAGAGCACTACGTAAAGCGTATGCTGATCGTTGCGATATCTTTTCGCTTGCTTTATTATATGATGTTTCTATTTAATTATGTTTCGAGACATACTTCGTCGAAGTTATCACGTCGTTTTATGCTATATCTTGCTGGAGTTTTATTTTTTTAGTTTTATTTTATATATTTTATAAATTAATGAAATTATATTTTTTATGTTAAAATTGCTGCTAATATCATTGGCAATAAGTGCTTTCCAACAACGTGTATAAGTGACATGTAATATGTAATATATAACATAGAATGCTTTTCAGCAAGGACACAATCAGACACTGTGTAACACAGTGAGTTGTTTAACGTAGACAAATAATGTAATTCACTATGTTTGACTATCCTTGCTAGAAAGCACCAATAATGTACGATTTCATGCTTTCTAAATGTGCTATTTTCCAGCTAGGACATGTAATATTCTTAATTAAATCCAAATGTTTCACGTTTTTCTTTTCCTTCCAAAGTCTTAGTTGATAACATTTTAAAATATAAGCTAGTTTGTCTATATATAATATCTCAAAGTAATATTCTTATTTTTGTTATTTTTATTTGTCTTATTCTTTCTGATAACATTGTCTTAAAATCAGCAGCTTCTACATCAGCTACGTATTCAGGCGATACATACCTACTAGCACAACGTACGATTCGGTGCTTTCCAATTACGACAAATCGACACAACCGAATTCAATTAATAGCAATGTATTGTGTCGACTTGTATCATAGTTAAAAAGTATACTGTATTACACTGTGTCACTTATAAACGTTGGAAAACATCCACTAATACAGATATAAAAATGTTTTTAAAAATGTAAAGACTGAAAAATATTCTTTATTTCTACAATTTTCAAAAACTTTCAGTTTATTTTTATTTTTGCTTTATTTATTTATATTCTAGTTAAGGCATTAGAAAGAATTGAATTTGCAAGAAAATTTTGTAACTACCACTGAATGGTTGGACAAATAGAAAACCAGACATGGCATTCGTCAATAGATTTGTGGCGAGAAAAAATGTGCTGATAGAAACTATAGAAGCTACTGATAAATTCAAGACAGAATTATCAGAAAAGATAAAAAAATGAGAACATTACTTTGGTATAGATATTCAATGTAGACGAAACAGGTTTATATTTTTAAATGTTACCAACTAAAACTTTGGCAGAAAAAGAAGAAGCATTTGGATTTAAACAAAATAAAAACCGTATAATTAAACATATATATATAATAAAACAATTATACATAATAAAACAATTATGTATAATAAAACAATTATGCTTTGCTGTAATGCAAATGGCTCTTTAAAATTATCTGTTAATTATTATAGGAAAATATGAAAAACCACGAATCATAAAATATTTTACATATACTTCTTGTTTACTATACATATCAAAAAAGCATGGATGAACAGTAATATCTTTAATATCATGCTTTAAAAATGAATTTGTGCCATAAATTACAGCGTTCTTGCAAAAAGAAAATTTACCTCTTAAAGCGCTACTTCTTTTTAATCATGCATTATGCCACTCTTCAGTTGAGATTTTACATGTTAATGATATTGTAGCTTATTATTTACCACCAAACACAACATCATTAATTCAACTATCAAGATATAATCGAAAATTTGAAAAGAAAATATAGATCCAAGCTTCATCAATTATAAATGAATAGATGAGGAATATTGATGTTATTATGTATTTAAAATTTGTAACTATTAAGGATGCTATATAAGCGATGGGATGAAATTACTACAAGTACAATTTTTAAATGTTGGAAAAACATTTTGCCAAAAGAATTTTTTGACAATAAAAGTTTATTGTCAGAAACTGATAGTGGAGAGATAATTAATTATTTTCGTAAAATTAATAATTATGAGAACATCACACAAGACAATATAGAAGAATTGTAAGAAGTGATGATACATTTTCTGAAATACTATCCAATAAAAGGAATTTTAAAAAGCGTAACTGTGGATTATATAGAAGATAAACTACTTTAGTATCATATTAATATTAATATAGTTTTTTTATAATATATTATTATCATATTTCTTGTTAATGCTATAATATTTTCAATTTGATAGATAAAGTTTTTTATATCTCGCATCCACAATTTCACAAAAAGAATCTTGAATTTGTTGTAAAGATACTTTTGGAAAACGATTATACATTGGATATTATATTCGACTATTAATACAAGAATTAAAATATTAATGAGTAAATTGAATTCTTGTTCAAAAGATCAAATAACATCTTATCTAAAGAATGAATGAAATGGTTTTCTATGCCGTATGTAGAAGAGATATCGAATAAATTTAAAAATATTATTAATGAGGCTTGCCATAGGGTTTCTTTTTTCAGTTTGAATAAGTTGAATCAATTTATTAAAATTCATAAAGACTCTTAAAAATGATGAATTAAAAAGGAATGTAGTCTACAAGATCAATTGTTGTAATTACGATGCTTCCTATGTGGGGAGGGCAAACAAGGAGGAAATTAAAAACCAGATTTTCTGAACACCAAAATTATTATTACAAACGATATCGGAGATGATGCACATTAATCGACAGACTAATGGACTTAATTTACAACATAATACCATTGCGTTAAATTATGCTTACACTGAAATTCTTAATAAACTGTAAGGTTGTTCGTAATATAATTCATATCATAAACTATAATTTGTTTGTATTCAAATTGGCCGCTATGTTACTTGTT